TTTCTGTCCGCACTTTGTGGAGAGTTCTTTTATAAGGTATGTGAAAATCGAATGCCACTTGATCAGTTAGCTAAGCTTTCCAACTACCCCAGGGTTTCGACTAAAACACAGGGCAGCAATTGATCGTTTACAGCCATTTTAGTTTGCATGCTCTCACTACCCCTCCCTCACTTCCCCCCCCACCCCCCTCTGGAGATAAGTCTGAGGTTTGCCTCCAGTCTTTTCCCGGAAGAGGGCTTGACGGTGGCTAATATTCCTTTGGGTGTATCTACAGTAAGAGTTATCGTGTAACTCACGGAAAAACGAATTTAGCTTTGTTTGAAAGCCTGATGATCGTCAGACGATCTTGCAGCGATTGTTTTCTGTTGTTGTCTTGAAACCTCTGTTTATTGTTAACCACATGTTTCTTTCCCGTGTGCGATTGGTACAAGCACGTCACGTGACGCACCCAGAAGTGGAAAGTAACCGACGTTATTATTCTCTAGCAATACCCCTAACGTGCTAAAGGCGAGTTTGCATTTCATAATACTGTAACAATAACTGGCCGTATCCTATATGATCAATTTCCTTCCATTCTGTTCACATTTCAGGGCTGCCGTTATTTGGTATTGGAGTTTATGCTCGCAGGGGACCTGCAGAAGGTTTTCGAGATGCACAAAAAACGGTTCAGCGAATTGCAAGCGAGGTAGGATGAAATCGAAAATGTAACGCGTTTGCGGCGCCGTGCCATCATCGAGTCGTTAATATATAATTGCATATCTAGAGTTCACAGGCCCATAGAGATAAAGACTATCTATCATCACAGGCTCCCAATGTGTGCAGAAAAGTAGCACAGCTGCATTTTAAACATTTAGCCTTATTGGCATAAAATACGAGGAGAAATAACTGTATTTAAAACGATTAGTTTTATGATAAACAAAGTTAAGATGAAATGTCTTAATGGTTCTTTGGAAGGCAACAAACATTTGATGCTCGATATTTTCAAAGTGTAACTCCAATTTATAATGCCTGTTCTCTAATAATACAAATAGTCTCATTATTGTGATGTTTTCATTCTTTATGGTTTTAGATTCTACATCGCTGAAATTATCTGTGGGTTAGAGTTTCTACACTTGCAAGGAGTGGTCCATAGGTAAAAAAGATGTTGCTTCATTTTACAGCACTTTTTTTTATTAATTACCACACACTTGAATACGTACAATACGGCTACCCACACTCGTTAGAGTACAGTGCGGCTACCAAAGCGATTTTTATTTTAGCGTCGAAAAGTAATTGACTTTGCACTTAGTACGCTACGCGATTGGCTTAAAAAACTCGCGCCAATTTTAAGGCCAAAACCAATCGTTACTCGTTCGCACTCGTTTTCCCGCGCTTCGTGTCATTTTATTACTTCGAGTTTTGATTGGTTCACTGTATTGTCTATGTCCTTTGTGATTGGCTAGAGTGATTACTTTGGTTTTGGTTTTACGGCACTCAGTTGAAACCGCACTAACATTTCTAACAAAACTAATACCTGGTAAAAATTTAAAAACGATCTCTGGCTAAAGCGGTTAAAGATTACAAGCTTTCGACTGCCTGAAATGCAGTCTTCAACAGGGTAAAATGTCAAAACTAATACCACTCAATTTATACAAAGTCTCTTAAAGATTTCCAATCTATCAAAGCATACTATATGTCCATGTTGAGGAGAATTTGTATGGACACAGTAGATAGGCCATCTTTACTGATGAGCTTTGGAAATTTTCACAAGTCAGTCATTTTGCTGCTTTTCAGCTTAAATTGTCAACGATGATTCGGCGACTTGTCATAGATTTAAATGACTTGTACCCAATCCTCTCATGCTTTGCGCATGCACTAATATTGGGGAATTAGAACTACTTTGTATGGAAGCCACTTCAAATTCTTGTAACTGTTTCTATCTTTCATTTTATTACGACAGAGACTTGAAGCTTCAGAACGTCCTTATGGATGAGGAGGGACACCTCAAAATCGCCGACTTTGGTCTGGCAGTGGATGACATGTTGCTGGGAGAGAAAATCGAAGAAGATTGGGAAACCGGGACACCTTCATATATGGCGCCTGAGGTATGTCTAATCTCAAGCCTCGAAAATGAAAAATTATTGGAAATTATAGTGTCTGACTCAGGTCATCGGGTGAGAAGAGCTAGAATATGAACTGTCCCACCTCCTTTTCAATATTAGTCGAGTAAGCCTGTACGCGAACTGACGAGCAAACAAGCAAACGAGCACACGAGCACACGAGCACACGAGCACACGAGCACACGAGCACACGAGCACACGAACACAAGAGCACACGAACACACGAGCACACGAGCACACGAGCACTCGAATTCTCGAGCACACAAGCACGTAAGAACGCGTTCCCACTCGAAAAATATGATTGCACGAGGAGACTCGTCTCACGCGAGGTGATTTTCGCGCGAGTTTGTATGCTCGTTCCCTGAGCAAAATAAGAGACTCTTTTTAGTCCAAATTGGTGAGGAGATGAACAAACAGATTTATGTTTGTCTTCGCTTTTTGTTTTAATCTCTCTGTGTTATTATCTGAGATCCTGTCTGATCTTGTCAAGTGTCGCTCTACATGCTCTTTATACACCTCACTACATTAAAATCGATGGCAACCGCGTGACTTCATTCTCATTATGACTTTTTTTCAGGTAATTGAACACCAGCCATATGATTCCTGTTGTGACTGGTGGTCGCTTGGAGTGATGCTTTACTATATGCTCACATCCATGGTTTGTGACAGAAGTTGTGATTATCCAAGTTAAAAGTGGCTTTAGTTTCAGCTGTCGATACTCTTGTAATAGTTTTCAGAAACTCGATGGAAGAACTTCGATGCTGTTTTAGGATAATCGGTAAATTCCGGTCCCTGAGGAACGAAGGAGGCCAGGACTCACTTGTGCAGACGCGTTCAACTTAAGCAACTCGGTCGAAAAAAATTGTATTGAGCAGTAATTTGTTTTAGATGCAAAAGCACTTAATTTTTTTTCCTTATTTGTTGTTTTTTTTTTCTTTTAAAGTAACGAGAAAAATATAATTCTTTACGATAGCCCTTAGAGTCATGAATAAACACCATCATTTTTCACGCTACAGTGTTCAAGGAGGTCTGGGGCCTCTGGAAATAGGACACTATTTGACGTCATGAACCATGAATCAAGGCCTTGAATCAAGACCATGCCCGGTTTGATGTATTTTTTCTTCATGAACAGATGCCGTTTCCTCAAAAAGTCATCCAAGACCTCTATAACGCAATAGTTACAGACGAGGTGGAATATAGGCGTAAATTGTCTGAGATTGCTTGGAATTTACTAACACAGGTAGGTAGACATAGTGCAGAGTAAAATTCCTTTTCTATTCCAAAACTAACGATTACATATATTCAGCAAGAGCTGAGTTTATGACAGCTGTTCTGACATGCATTTCTCCCTCTTCATATAAAGATAACTTCTTTTTATTCCATCAGTTGAAAGTCACTTTTAAACTATACGTTTTTGTTTGAAGAACCGAGGATTTCATTGTGCTGTAGGAAGATAACTTCAAATACTGACGCATTTTTTCAGCTGCCACAATTCTAGATATTTTAGACATTCGCACTTATCATATGCATCTCGTTAGGCTATACATATGTCTCTTAGAATTACAATATCTTAACCTTGGTTTGCTTTCTCAAGCTCTTGGAAAAGAACCCCTTGAGAAGGATTGGTTATAAGGGTGGATCAAACCCGTGGATCAGAAGACATAGGTTCTTCCAGGCCTTAAACTGGGACGAACTTGAACAACGAAACATCAAGCCGCCCTGGAATCCAAGAAAAAGAATTTTGCTCGAGTAAGGATTCTTTTAGTGAGCTTCGAGGAACAGATAATGTCCAAGGACAAATATCCGAGCATATTTTCGCCCAAAATGGAGGCTAGTGTGTTTATTGTTCTTCAAATCTTTTTCGCAACGCGCGCAGTTTTGAAAATTCGGGAATATTCTCGGATATTCCCCAGTTTTGGCTGGGGAATATTCGGCCACGTGACGTGTTTAGACCAATCGCGCGCGAGCGAAAATATTTGATGGATTATAAATATCAATATTCTAACATGGCTCCGAGGCTTTCAGGACAAAATTGCGAATTTTGTAAGGTCCTTTTGTCCCTCAGTTCCCAAACGCGACTTGAATAGGAAGAAAACACCACTAAATATAGACGTTTGTCCAGAAAGCCTCGGAGCTATGTTACAATATTTCTCCCAAATCCTCGGTTTTTTTTTTTTTTTGCAAAATTCTTTTCAAGCCACTGCCACCTTCATACTGCGTTTCACGTGTGTATTGTTGTCATCTCTGCTTCAGTTAAGGGATTCGTTCGTGGTTTTACAAATTTACACTTTGAAAGTGAGACTTGGATGAAACTAGCTGGTCTGAAGCAACAACAAATTGCTCCAAGGTCGTGGTACTGTGGTAAAAACATGTAAAAGCCGTGTGAAAAGAACTGAAATGTTCTAGAAATAGATTAGGTCAACATCTTTTGCTCGGTTTTAGAGAGAATCGATTACTACCAGTTTAAGGTTCGATATCGGGCGGCTGTTTTTAATCCAAGTGAAGAAATAATGCCGATGATTCAGTTTGTCGTTTGGTCTTTGCAACATGTAATGTTTCAGTCATTTATGCTGAAATTCTAGCATAGCTGACATTTCTTATTGTTAATTACCTAACTGAAGATGACAGTAAGGACTGCTATCATAGGCCTTTTGGAATTGTTAACTAATCATATACTTCTAGATCTGTACCTCCTCTCTTGGAATCTCTTGCACTCCACATTCTTGAGGACATTCCAGAGGAAAACGCGTACACTCATAATCTTTATGACGCTGTTAAGATGAATGAGCACCATATTTGACTGAGAAACAGTTAAACCAACTACAAAGTGGCTAGGGAAAAAAATGTAATATTCCTCAACATATAAAGTTTGTCTATTTCTTGCAAACAAAAATGAAGGCTGGAAACAATGTTTCCCGTATGGCAAAACTGGGAAAAAAATGGGGAATGCGCATGCTACGCACTTTTCAGGAACTTACACTTGCCAGGCCTTAACCTTGATTATTTGCATTAAAATATAATCCAATGTCGTGGGTATAGGCTATTTTGGAGCTGATTTTCTCCCACATTTGCCGGTGAAAAGAGCTCTTCGATACCAAAAATGGCAATAACACAACAATCTTAGACTAACTTGTACTCCAACTGGGTGTTTACCACATGCAGGGATCGCTTTGTCTTCTGCTTATCTGCTTATTCATTCGAATTCATTATACCCTTATGTGATCCTCAGCCTGGAAATGCAGCGCCTAAAATCGAAAAATGCTTCCATTCAGTGCTTTTTTCTTGGATTCAGGCTGCGTTCAATCGACGACCTTTGATATTCCGTAGTAAGAATAAATGGAATTACCTGAAGTATCCTTTCGATTGAGTCACTATTCCAATTTCAGAATACCCGCAGCATTTTGCTCTTTGGGAGTAGAGTACTCGGTAAAGTACCTCCCTCTACATGGGGTCGTAAAGAAAATGGGTTGTTACGCAGAAAAAAAAAAAACATTCTACTTCCTGAGTTGGAAAAAAGTGGAGCTTTTACTCCTTTCCTTGAGCGAGGAAATGAAAGGGTTTTTTTTGATATAGAACGTAACTAAAACAAGGTGCAAGAATCCAGAGCCTGTATTTTTCCATAAGCGGAATAATCGTTTTAATGACCTATTTTAGAATCATGACTCCGGAATATATATTTGTATTCCAGAATAAGGTCACTAAAACACACCCTTAATACAATAAACAAGAATTTTGCCTAATGGAATATCTACAAGCCAAAACAAATCACTCGAGTTTGTTATAAAGGCATGGGGTCGGGTCACCGATTGGTGGTATCAAAAATTAAAACAAAACTTAATTCTCAATAAATGGATAATTTTGTACGGCTGGCACTAAAAATTGCGTATTAAGCGAGTACTCAACTATGCCCTTCTCCTCGCAAAATATCATAATATTTTTTGTACCAGCCTGCGAAATAACAAGTGAGATTTTGACAGCTTTCCTCTTCGTCTTAGAACGAAACTTGATATTTTCAGAGAAGTCTCTCTTGAAAAGAAAGCTTTAAACATTTTCCAATGTACTTGGGCCCACTTATTATAAAAACTTAGTCACAAGGTACTATAAAACTGTTCATGATACTTCCGTGACTGTGCGAGTTGCGTTCATACTTTCTCGTTCTGGGAACTATTTGTTTTTGTTTTTGTTTTATTTAACATTGTTTAGTTTTAATAGTGTAAGTTAAGTCAGTATTGTAAGTATTGTTAACATTGAAAGAATGAAAGATGCGAATGCAGCCATAACACTACTGGAAAAATGACCTGAAATTACCATCTATTACCATGGAATTCATATGCTGGAGCCGAGTATTACGTCCACTGAACATATAGAGCCGAACTCACACACGACCGCTCTCATGTGGCTTCGATAGCTCAGTTGGTAGAGCATTGCACTGGTAACGCAAAGGTCGTGGGTTCGAATCCCGTCCGGGGGGGGGTACTTTGGGAATTTCTGGGTGGGGATGTGCCGCTGGAACCCTGGAACCCTTAGCCTATACCAGAGCTAGTTCAGCT